GCAAATAAATTCTAAAAATTTAATTAACAATAACAACAACTATAAATAACATTAAACAATATATTTTATTTTATTTTATTCATGTGTAACTCGCGGATTGAAGTCATTCAAATGATTGAGATTATGCAGTTATAATAGATGTATATATTATAATATAATTGAAAATAATCAATATATTATATCAATTTAGTATACGAATTATTATATCAAATTTAACAACAACGTTATTGGTATATTTAAAAAAAACATATATTTGTAAAGACTTCAACTATACACAGGTGTTTCAGCGCAACACGCGAACATTCGCCTAGTCATACTATATTTATAAAAGGAGACATTTTTCCTTGAACTTCATGCATTTGAAACCCCACAAAAATTTGCAAACACCTCATGCATTTGAAATCTCCTGTTTTAATGAATACCACTCAAAAGTTTCTTAATAATGATTAACAATTCAAATGTTTTATAACTTATATAATGTATCTAATAAACAATTAATGGATAGTCTACTATAAAAAGACCAATTTCTTTGAGTAGACACACAAATACAAATCACATACAAAAATTCACAAAGAAAACAAGTTTACAGTTTTTTGTGTTAGTTTGAGGGCTTTTGTAGTGGTGTTGATTATGATGGCATGTGCGGAATTAGAAAATATCTAGTGAATCATCATGTAAAATCAAGAACACAAGAAGTAAATAATTCTTTTAAGCTCTCATTAGTTTCATAGAAAGAGTACAAATAGGTCTTGCAAAATTTCTCTTTAAACTAATGCTCTCATATGATCATTACTAAATATGAGTGTCACTCACTTCCTATTTATAGGAAAGACAACTCATTTACACATCAATAAGGTAAAGCCTCATCCAAGCGTGACTTTGCACCCTAACATTCTCCCTCTCAAAGTTAGGATTGGATGTCCGGCTTCAATATCCAACGAGCTAGCGCGATCAAGACCAAACTCCCCCTCGAATTTTCACCGGTCTTCAAGATCTGCAAAGAATATCCGAGAAACCCGCTTCGAATACCCATCATTCTCCCTCTTTTTATAATCAAAAAAATGATTATAAAACCCATTAAGGGTGAGAAGCGCCCGATGAATAATCTTCACAATACTCCCCCTTGATGTGTACAAAAATGAATCACCAAAAATCTTGCACGGAAAAACAATCACGAAAAAACCTCAAAAAATTTCCAAATTCATGAAATTTTTTGACTATTGGGTGAGAGTTGCAAGATTTTCCAAAAACCAGTTAAAAACCGTCACTAATAAAATTCTGCAGGGACCCGTTGCGCCAAAAGCATCCAAATATGCGAAATTCTCCCCCATTTGCGAAACTAGGTAGAAAATGTTAATTCACACAAACTGCAGGGACTTGAAACGAAACTTCTTCAATTTCTCAGCTTTGTTAGCCCATTTTCGAAGTTGGGTAATTTCTGCCAACATTTCGAAACTGCAGTGGCTAATGAAGAAATTTTGCCATTTTTCACAACTTTTTCACCATTTCTAAACTGGACCAATTTTGCCATTTCGTGAAAAAATGAGGGACCAATTTGGAAACATTAGGTTATCTTCCCCAATTCGTTTGTAACAGAGTCGAATGGAAGTTTGACCAAAGAAAGTCTAAATCGACTTCGACTTCAACTCTTGCAAATCGAGACTCCAGGCTTCCATGCTCAGGATATCGACTCTCGATTCTACATCACCAATCCAAAACAGATTCGACACTCAACACTATCAATCTTAAAGTGAGCATCTTTGCTTTCTTCCTAATCGACTTCAAAATCAGTCGATTCCAATAACCTCCAAAATCAAATCAATATCGACCATTCGCTTTCAGTCCTTCATCATTAATCATTGAATGATTGTAACACATACTTCTCTTGTTGAGACTAACCCAAAATCGATTTCACTTCTAAGTCCAGATCACATTCCAATATCCATTGACATCAAATTCGTCATCCATACCTTTATCCTTCGTGACCATCGACTTCTCTTGCAATCGGTTTCTTCTTCCCAACACATTCCAAATCAAAATCAAATCTTCAGCCATCGATTCGTTAGTCTCAGGTCGTACCCCATTCATTCCTTCGAAATCAAAATCAATCAACCCAAGATATCGATTTCAACTCCAAAATCATCAATCGAATTGCAAAGCTATTTCAAATCAGCCTTCGCTTTTTGATTGAACCAAAATCGATATCCAAAACATCGACTACATAGATATCGATCAATGATTCCAAACCAAGCCATCGAAACTCAAGTCAATACTTCATCGACATCAGTCCTTTAATTCGATATCAATCTTCACAAAACCGACATTAATTGCAATCAATTACAAAAACAAAAATCAATTTCGAACTCCATTCTCACATCCCTACCAATACTGTGTATCAGAAGTTCGATTTCTCAAAAAAATGACTCAATTTCAAGTTCGATTGCGTGACTGAAGTGAGAAACATAATACTTGCGAGATACGAGACCCAGTTGTTAGGTCAAACACGAAAAATCCAATATTAATTCCAGGTCAGTTGTGAATTTCATAATCGAAGACCCAGAATTAACAAACGAAACTCAATTTCAATTTGTCATCGATTATTATGAACAAGGAAGTGAAAGTTGAATTCAAGAACGATGAACACAAACGAGAATGTACAACTCGTTTATGCGTATGATGAAAAAGAACAACATTCAATGAATCAAACTGACTCCACTTAGATCACGAGAAAAAAAAATATGTGGACTCCATATTATCGGATTCAAATGAAAATATATGGGCTTCGAAAGTGTGAATGATTGAACAATGAATATCAAAAGAGTTTTAATTTTGATCTTAAAAAAATGGGCTTCAATGAACAGTGAATTAAAAAAATGTTAGGAATATGATTTTGATTTTATGATTTGATCTAAACAAAAAAATAATTGGATCAATCAATGGGGTTGAAACGAATTTGATCCAATGAGGCAAATCGATCAAAAATTGAAAAACGCGAAATACAAATCAAATCATGGACGTTTTGGAATCCATTTGAGAATTTGAGATACCTTTTTGACGAATCGATTTCCGTTTGCAACGAATGAATCAAATTTAGAAGATCTTGGTTCTTTTGTTGGAACGAGAAAATCTCCGATTTGAACATTGTACCACCCACTTTGCGTGATGTACAACTCGTTCTTCGTGTTCTTCGTGTTCTTCATCAAACCAAGAACATCCTCAAAAGAACCACCAACACTTTTGGGTTTTGACTTCAATTTCAATGCAACCTTTGGAGATTGTTGCTTTGGAACCCAAATTTGCTTCACGGATTTCGGCCTCACAACATTTGACGATTTTTGTGAGTAAACCCGCTTGTTTTTATGATTGATCTTCTTCTTCTTTTTCTTTCTCGTCTTTTTGCATCTTGAAGACTTGACTTCATGAACAAACCCACTTTTCACAATATCAACTTTGTGAATTTGAATCAAATCTTTTGGAGTTTGATACTTGTGAATTTCTTGGATCATCGGCTTGCGATAAGGAATCATTCCTTTAGACGAATCACAAGTACACAAAATATCATCGGTTTGAACTCCAATCGAGCAAAAAACTTTTTCATCATGAGAATCAACTTGAATCTTCTTATCAATAACTTCAAGAACATCAAGAACATCACATTGAACTCCATTGTCTTGAACTTCAACAAACTTAAGAGCACGAAGATCATTTGGGTTTTCAATTAGAGAAATATATTTCTTATTGAACAAATCTCTTTCTTCTCATTCCTTTTGATTTCTACTACGAACTAATATGGACAAGACAATTTTATTCAACCATGCAATCTTACAAAGTGGTTGAAATACCAAGCTTCCATGATCATCCTTCAAACCTCCATAAGAAACCATATTACTCCGTGAAATCAATTTGCTTAACACCAACCCATAAAATTGATCTTCATTGACTTTGTATTTGATATCATCAACGATTACAATCCAAGAATCATATGACAAATCCACCATGATTACAAAAACTTGAAGATTTCTAGAGAGAGAAAGTGATTTTTAATGGGTTTTCTAGAAAGAGAAAGTAAAAATCACTTGAATTCTAGTGAAGAAAATCGAATTATGAATAGAATCAAAGATGAATTCGATTTCTAGAATCCAAAAACTCTCTAAATCACGAAGATGAAAGATTAAAAATGAATCACCAAATCAAGATTGCCATCGTAGATCAATTCTTGATCAAATCAAGAACACCCGCTCTGATACCAATTGTAGTGGTGTTGATTATGATGACATGTGCAGAATTAGAAAAGATCTAGTGAATCATCATGTAAAATCAAGAACACAAGAAGTAAATAATTCTTTTAAGCTCTCATTAGTTTCATAGAAAGAGTACAAATGAGTTTTGCAAAATTTCTCTCTCTAAACTAATGCTCTCATATGATCATTACTAAATATGAGTGTCACTCACTTCCTATTTATAGGAAAGACAACTCATTTACACATCAATAAGGTAAAGCCTCATCCAAGCGTGACTTTGCACCCTAACAGCTTTGGACCATTTTTCGAGTCATGTTATTATGTTGAAGTTTTTAATTTGTAAGTTTGTTATATACTAATTATTTTTTGTATTTTTTTGGTATAAGTATTCTTTTAAGAATATCATTGTATGTTGTGGTTGAAATTTTAATGAAAATTAGATTAGATTCATGTTATTGATCATATGTTATGGGAGGTAATATATATAATATTTAATTAACTATTGTATACATGTTTGTATGATCGTGTTGCATCAAAGCAATAACTAATTAAAAATCATAGATATGTCATATTATTCATGTAAGTCTCTTTTAAAATGTAAATTGTCTATCTTATCACTTTATATTTTAGTATATATGTTTAACATTTTAATTATAATAAGAAATGCTTTTTAAAGTTTCTTTCACTTATTAATAATAATATGTGGTTTTAAAATTAATGAACAATAATTATACATAATAAAATTAAATTATAAAAATCATGGATATGGCATATTATCCACGTACGTCTCTTTTGAAATGCAAATTGTCTATCTCACACTTTATTATTTAGTGTATGTTTCACATTTTAATAATAATATTAAGTGTTTCTTAAAAGTCTCTTTAGCTTATTATTAATATATACTATCAATTCTCAAAACCTTAGCTCTCTTTCTTTTTTCTTTTTTGCACACGGAAGTCTTCTCCTTTCTTGTTTTGCCACTAAACTTCTACTTTGCCTTTTCTCGCACAAACCGCCATAGAATTTTTCATCGTTATCTTCTCTTCCTCAAAGCCGGTCGCCGCTATTGTCCTCCAATACGGTTCAGTTTGATCCCAATTTCATCAGGCAAGCCTTCCATGTGGCCATGTCTCTAAGCCCCTTCCAGCCATTCCTTTCTCTTTCTTGCAAATTAATCCACCGACTATTTCCTTTTCTTTCTTCCAGACGAGAAAGATGATGAAGACAGCAGATGCGTCGCTGCTGCTAGTGGTCAGTGACGGTGTTACCGGAGTGCAGGAATGGCGACCAATTCCTACACCGATTGAACCCTCTATTTTCCCGATTTCAGCATCCGAATTCTTCCCTAAACACAGGTGCCATTTTCAGATAATAAGCTTCAAGTGATTTGGTTTATTTTCTTTCTCTATCACTTTTTGTTCCTCTTATATGTTACTGTGTGAGGGATTTCGCTTAATCCATGGATGCTCTCATTGAGTAACTCTCCAACACGCAAATGGGAAACTTAATTTTTGGTTGGGATTGTTACATTTGTCCTTTTTATTATGCATAACAAGTGTTTGATAAAATGTCTCAACAACCAACACAATGTATAGTCACACTCAGGTAGCTTAATTTCTGCACATAAATTGGAGCCGACTTGAAACAGGTAGCTTAATGAAGGTTAGTCTTATTTACTTAAATTTAGTAAATTGGTTCATATAGTCATAGTCAGGTAGCTTAATTTCTGCACTTGATTGCTAAATTTTAACATGAAAGCCGACTTATTGAAATCATGGTGTTAGGGGATTGCATGACACCATTGTTGCTGGAATCAAATCTTATGATGGTTTCCTTTTATTATCATGACAAACTTTGGAAGTCCAAGGGTATTTGGGGGATTTCTTATCAAGATGGTTATTTTTTTATGGATAGGGAGTTGGAAAAAGGTAAGGTTGACAGGGTTAATTGTGGAATTCTCATTTTCTGCTGTTGGTATTCAATATCAACTTGAGATATGTTTGTTTTGGATGTTATACTTTTCCTACATATGCACATACGGGATAAGCCAACAGTACAACAACTTTTTGCCTCCACACAGTAAGCTTCTTTTCTACCAATATTATTGTCATATGATGCATTTGATTTGTGTTAAAGTAATCTATTAATAGATTTTGGTGGCTATGTTCTGTAGAGTTGTTGTTGTTGTATATTTTGTTGGATTAAAGGCAATTGGTGAAAGTGCACACAACTCTGAACCACCAAACATGTATCTGGTAATTTTACAATTCATCCCTTCTATGATTAATTTTGTTTAGTTTTTCTTATTGCTGAAAGAATACGATACTTTTGATTGTGGAGATGGTGCTCATTCAAATATTTGATTACGATTATTTGTTATCATATAGTCTATCAAATTGAACACCAGGACACCCATAGACTGAAAATTCACTTTTAAATATAATGTTGTCAATATGATTTGTAAAATTCTCAACAAAAATTACGATGATAACATTTACTTTGTTGTAAAATCCATAAAAATCGTAAATTGGTAAATTGGGGGGTGTTTGAAAAGGGTTTTTAAAGTGATTATTTGATTGTCTGTTTCAAGTTTCAACTTTCAGTTGTTTGGATAATGTAATTGTGCTTATGATTATTTGATTATATAGGGTATGTGATTGTGCTACCAAAATAGAAAACCAAATGTGCATATGTTGGATCTCATGGAAAGCAAACAACAACCAAATACCAGTGGTCTTCAGCCACTTTAAAAGTATCTCAACCAAATATTAATTGGGTTTAGTGATTATCTCTAATATTTCACTTTTGGTCACTTAATTAAAAAAAATACATCCAATTTTGTTTCCGTTTTGACAAACAGATGCAGATGACAGTCGGTGGTGGGCTAGTGATATGGAAGACTTCCAAAATCTTTGCTACAAATATTCTTAATAACTGAAACAACACTTAAAACCACTGACGCTGCAAAAATACCACTAATAGCAGGGCTACGTCTGTATCATATCAGGTAAGAGGTCATCTTTAAATGAAAATTCAACAAATTTATACCATTTTACTTTGAGAATGAGAAGGCCATTTATGTCTTAACCCTATTTATTGGAACTTTAAGGGGTTGTCAACGATATAGTGTTGGATCAAAGAAATGTTATAGTCGACTAAAGGTTGCATTGTTTTTAAGAAAACTTAATTTCGATAAGGATGCTGCTATTTATTTGGCTCAATCAAGATGTTTGAATTTCTTAATATAATTTGAATTATTGTTTGACTGATGATCAATTTCAGGAGGGAATAATGTCAATGGAAAGGAAGTCAAAGTTTATTGAATCAGACTATGAGATGCTGATTGACTTCTACATATATTCTCAAACTCTCAAGTGATGTATTTGTTCCAACAATCTCATGTTTTTTTATGCAAATGTTGCTGAAAATTAAAATATATCATTTTAAGGGACTTATTTTTTTTTATTTATTATTTTCTTTCCTTTTGCCTGTTAATCCTATTGGATTTGTGCCTGTTGTCATGGATGGTGATGATTATAGTTTTTAAATTTTTTTATTAAAAAATTCGTATCCCGGTAGGCATTCTCTCATTTATGTAAATGACTGAAATACCCTTTGCCCACTGCTGTGCTGTGCTGTGTATAAATTATAAAATTGAGGTTATGATCTTGTGCATCATAGGGTTCTTTGGGGACTTGGTTATTGCTACTCTTGATATTTATCAACTTACACTTGGGCCTGAAGCAGAAATTGTATTGTTAGCAACTGATGGCTTATGGGACTACATTAAAAGGTTCAATCTATCTTACCTTTTTTTTTATGACTTCATTATTTTATCTAAATTTTATTACCTTCAACTAGGATGCGGTCAACTTTGTTAGAAACCAACTTCAGGTACATGGAGATGTGCAGGTAATTAGTTTCGATGAAAATATTTTCAAGAAAAACAAAAGTTTATAAAATCTTTATTATTTTTATACCAATATATTGTAGGCTGCATCTGAAGCTCTAGCTCAAATGGCCTTGGTATGTAATGAATTTCGTACACATTTTCACATTTTGATCACGAGTTTCTCACTTCCCTTGACTTCTAAGCTGTTTTATTGCAGGACCAATATTCTCAAGAGAATGTAACCATTGTGATTAGACATGCACAAAAAGACCGGTCTCGGACCGGACCCAAAAAAAGGCCGAGACCGAACCGGTCTAAAACGAGACCGGACCGAAAAAAGACCGGTTCTAAAAAAGACCGTACCGAAAAAAGACCGGTTTGAGACCGTCCCGGACCGGTCCAAAAAAGACCGGACTGTCTGGAGACTGGTCCTAAAAAAGACCGGACCGGTTTGAGACTGGTCTAAAAAAATAGACATGTAACCAAACTTTATAAATATATAATTTTTGTGTTAATTATACAATTTTTAATCACAAACTATCTAATTTATTTTATTTATTTCTTTTATAAAATTTAAATTATCATTTTTAATAATTCTTAATTTATTATTTTGGTGATAATCTCATATTTATTAATGGAAAAAACTCGAAACCAAAACAAAAGAATAAAAATATCGAAACCGAACAAAAAAACTCGAAATCGAACCGAAAAAGGCGTATGGAAAGACCGAGAGACGAAACCGAAAAAGACCGGTCCAAAAAAAGGCAGGTCCGTAAAAAGACCGGATGGGAAAAAGACCGAACGAGACTGGTCTGAAAATAGACGGGACTGTTCCGAGACCGACCTCAAAAAGACTGGACCGTGAGACCGACCAAAGACCGGTCTGGGACCGCAAATGTGCAGGTCTGATTGTGATTGTTGATTTGGGGTATGCAAATTTAAAAAAAAATAATGATGTAAGTGCATTTTTTTTTTTTTTTTTGTATCTAAGTTTGATGATTTGAGTTTATGTTGATGTTGGTGATTATCCATGAGAAAGTAGGATGTTATTTTCTGCTATATTAGATAACATTCATTCTGTTGTAATGAAACAGGTATGTGCAATTTGGTTTTATTTTTACTATAATCAGTTCATTTATAAATTGTTATCGCATCTCTTACGTTTCATAAACGGTTATATTTAATTCAATCAATATCCTCTCTAATGATGAATTCCAACAAAAGGTGTTGACATTTTTGGTTAGGTAGGTTCCAACCACAGAATGAAGCCCATACTAATTTGTACTTAACGTATTAAGAGACATTATGATTTTGTATTTTACCTTTTTGATTCTTTTTAATTTTTATAATATTTTTTTCTTTGTTCTTAATTTTTTATAAATTTTTGTAAATTTGTTATTTTTAACTTTTTGACCAGACCATTTTTTTAGTTTTTACTTTCTCTATATCATATTAAACATGTGTAAAGAAATATAAGTAAAGTGCTATTGTTGGTATTAACTTTGCTTCCTAACTATGATATGACTTATATATAGGTGTGACTTATAATTTGACTTGGGACAGGGGCACAGTTGAAAATTTGGAGATTAAGCTCAAACTTTTGACTTGGAAAAGAGAAAGTTGAACGTTTGCATGATTGATGCAAAAGAAAACTTAGATGGTAATGAATTGCAATCACTTGTAGGTGTTTCAAGAACAAGAAAACAAGCCACTGGTATGGTTTTTAAAGTCTTTTTCTAATCAAAAATCTAATCCACTCATTCAATGTCTATAATTTCCATCTTTCAGAAACTAAAATCATTTTGTGATTCCAATCCAACCGTGAATGATGCAGCTAACCTAACTTTAATTTATTGCAATGAAACGAAAAAAAGAAACACGGCGCCAAAGGCGTATCTAATTCCCCTCTAGTTATTAATAAATGGTTTAAAATTAATGAATTAGAAATTTAAATGATAATAACATCAAATTATAAATTACATTTAGCTACAAATAAATTGTATTTTAAATGAACATCATTATTGAAATTAGAAAATGATCGCATAAGTAAAAATATAATTACTCAATCATAATAATTGTTAAAAATAATACTAAATAGATAATTATATTTAATTTTATTAATGAGAAAGGTGGGTTGATGTCAATGAATATTATTGTTCAAAATAATTGAGATTATATATATATATATATATATATATATATATATATATATATATAGAATTAGGTTTATTTGAGACTAATGATATTTTGTGAGACATGGGGACAACATCTTAGCCTTTGATCAAAACTAATCCGATGGCTCATAAAGAACATGATTAACACTAATTAATGTACTTGATTAGTTAATTAGGGGCAGATTAGTCATTAGGTTAAATATAACATCTTCAGCAAATCTGCTAGATTATTAACGTCATGTTCACATCATCAAGAACATCCTCATCTGTTTCGATTCTTCTACCAAAATCAGCGCTCATATGCGATCGATATTCCTTCATATTCATATTCATGTAATTAATCTTCATCTCCTAAAATATTCACTTCTTTCTACTAGTTTGTCCTGGTATTTAAGATCGCCATTCACCGGTCGATCAATGATCCTTACCTGTTGAAATCACAAGCATTAAATTTGCGATTTTTGTGATTTTGGAGTTCATCTTCTTCATTCGTCTACATTTTCATGTGATAATCTAATTTATTGAGGTTAATTTTCATATATCGACATCAACAATTCATCCCAAGATTGTGATTGACTTTTAGCTCTGTGATCATCAATTTTCATCCAAGGTAGAGGTTCAAGTGTTTAGTGATTTAGGTTAATCTTCATCTTCAACAACAATTTACACTCTTTCAAGCTGTGATTTATTATTCGGTATCGTGATTTCATCAGTTATTCAATGTTTGAATTTTCATCACTTTTATTGTTACTTATATTTAACCTAGAACAATAAGATTCAATTTTTAATGTGACTTGCATGTATCATATTATGTGTTTGACCTATTAGCATAAGATGATTGAATCTTCAAGTGACTAGTGATTCCCTAATTCATCTAGGTCTGATTCATGATTTTAGGAATCAACATCATATTGATTGATTGAATCTATTTAACCTAGAAAACAAGTTAACCTAGAATATGTTATTTAACAATACATCATCTGTTTCAAGGTTTAGTTTTGTAATTTTATTCAATCAATTTGTTTTTCAGCAATCTGTTGTATGTTTCAATGTTTGTTTTTCATTAACATCATCTTATTGATAAGTTCATGTTACTGCATATTAATCTTATAGAATATTAAACATACATTTATTAATATCAATTATGATAACATGTACATGCTAAATTGTGATGTTTTATGATTAAATTCATATGAATTCACGTTATCCTGTTTATATGTTAAGATGGTGGTATATTATTTTTTTGTAGTTCAATGTGTTAATGTTGCAGCATAATCTAGTTCTTGCAAACAATTCATTGGATCTGATGGTTTTTTGTTTTAGATTCGAGATGTTGAATCTAGTTTGATACCTGTTATAGGTAAAACATTTAAAGAAACTAGTAATGGTATTAAGTGCTATATAGAGTAGGGATAATGACTTGAAAGGGTAACGAACTTTCTACTTTTTTCACATTTAGTCACTAAACTTTTTTTCGTTATCTATTTGTCATTGAACTATTGAAACTGTTCACATTTTACCCTTATGACCGGCTGTTACCGGTCATAAGGGTAAAATGTGAACAGTTTCAATAGTTTAGTGGCAAATAGATAACGAAAAAAAGTTTAGTGACTAAATATGAACAAAATCAAAAGTTCGTTTCCCTCTAAAAAGTTCAATGACTAAATGTGAACAAATTTCCTCTTGTATTATGTTTTAGCAAATTATTTATTTTTGTTAAATTATAGCAACATTTGTTGATGAAGAAATCTATGAAATAAAAAAAAAACTTGAAAATATATTTAAAAAAAACAAAAAACCGAAACCGAAATAAAAAACCAATGGTTTGACATTTTCCAAAATAAAAAATCAAAATTTCTAATCTGATTTTGGTTTTACAAAAAAATGAACCATTCTCACTGATGTGAATTATGACCATTGGTTTGGCATGCGGAATTTGTGACATCCCATGAATACGTAGTTACAACATCGTCTGAACTCGTAATTCATAGTAAGGGGTTAGAGTATCATCACATGAATACATAGTTACAACATCGCCTGAACTCGTAGTTCATCACCTACAGGTTATGGGCCTGCTGGTGTTTCCACTGGGTTGTCTAGAATAGTCCGTGGTCGCCATCTATACTCTGGTAGATGACTACATCGCCACATTGCCGATTAAGTTTATGGTATCTCCTTTCATCCTACATCACCTATTCATCATCATCTATTTACCTAATTATCATCACCTTTCTATCATCACCTATCTCTCATCATTTTATTTCTTCACACACCAACTATTTCATCTACCCATGTTTCATCCGCAACATATTTGTAGATATAAAATAAATATACCGTTTAAATCTTTGAAAACATGTATAAAATCGTTCATCCAGCATAGACAGCAAGTATTCAAATAATATGCACACATACCACGTAATTTATATAAAATACTTCATATCTATGTGTAAGATGAAAGCAACTATATATACCATAAAAATCCCATAAATGCTTCCTAACTTCAAACCCCAAGGTTTACTCTAGTAAAACTTCATATTCTCGGCTCTCTAGACCTAGAAGGGTCCAGATCTATAACACAAACTTGCAAGAGGGGTTTGAGGCATTCAAAACCCCAAAGATGAATTGATTCAAGCCCTAACCCCAAAATGGAATCTACAAAATAGGGAAGGAAAGGGGTTCATTTTTGTACCTCAGAATAAAGCTCCTTGCTTGAATAACTCAGAACAATAACCTTCTTTGGTCCCTCTTGCTGGAACTCTTCTCCTTTCTTGCAAAATCACACCAAAAAGCTCAAGATAGTTCTTCCTCTCACTCTACACACTCAAGCTCGCTAGGGTTCTCACTTATGGGAAAGGTAGTCGCAATTGAAGGCCATAAGTGCCTTTAAGTATGGATCGGGCCCAAAGATTTAGGGTTTCTGCCAACAGCGCGGACTCGTCGAGTCCATTCATTAACCCGAGTCATCAGTCGCGACCTTACTCGACGAGTTGAGGCATCAACTCGTCGAGTCTCTCTTCTTAACTCAAAAGAAAAATACTTAAATTATGATACCTCGAAATCCGGATGTTATATATTGTTTTTTTTATTTCATAGATTTCTTTATTAACAAATGTTGCTACAATTAAACAAAAATAAATAATTTGCTAAAACATAATACAATAGGAAGTTTGTTCACATTTAGTCATTGAACTTTTTGGAGGGAAACGAACTTTCGATTTTGTTCACATTTAGTCACTAAACTTTTTTTCGTTATCTATTTGCCATTGAACAGTTTCAATAGTTCAATGGCAAATAGATAACGAAAAAAAGTTTAGTGACTAAATATGAACAAAGTCAAAAGTTCGTTACCCTTTCAAGTCATTATCCCTATAGAGTATGCATCAAGATGTGATTTGTCATCAGAAAGTCAACAAAGAGGAAACAAGATAGTAGAATTATGACTACAATATATTTGGTTTTGCATAGGGTGGGATTGCTAATGTACTTTCATTTATTAACCAATATAATGCATGCACAAAGCATTTTGCAATTATTATTCTTGAGAAAATCTCTTTAAACTATACATGCATTCCTCTTTGATAAAAATATTGAATGAACAAAGGGTAAGATGTATCATTCTTCCTTCCCACAACAAAAGACTTTTTTTTAAGAATATAAGTATATTAATCACAGTTGGTCTAAAACAATGTCAAGTTGACCACTCTTACTAATTTACAATATTTTTTAACTATATTTTTTTTCTTCAAACACTGAATGTTGGTGATGTCTTTTTAGCCAAGTTTGTTTTTAATATTCTC